CACTCTACACCGTTCTTTATGTTCCTAGGAAGATGAACCAGGGGACTAGACCAAGATCGATAGAGGTAATGTCCTTCCCATGAGTCCTTGTGCTTCGTCTACAGTAACCCATACTATTCCCTCCCACCCACTTTCTCTCTCATACGAACCATCATCATTCTGCACTTCATATTCATATTGTCTTATTTCAAATTTCAAAAATCGTTTTATTATTTTTTTGCAAAAATTCGAGAAAATTACAACAAAACCCGTAAATAACATACACACACACAAGGAATTTTCGAGAACAAAAATTCTTCCTTTTTCTAGAGCACCTAGGGCAAGAGGTACAACAGTAGAACAGAGAGACTATATAAGGCTACAAAATTAGAAGAAGAAGAAGGATTCTGGACGTCTTCTCTAAACAGTGACTCCAGATGTCGATGTCGGAACGTGGTGATGCGTCATTTCCACGTCGATTTGCGCGGCGGCTGTGGATTCTGAATCCAGCGAAGACGTGGAGGTGGATGGCGAGGTTTCGGGAATCTGGAAAATTCAAAACTAGGTCATGTTTATACTCATTTTCAAGCTCTTAAAACGCTGATTCCAAATATACGATTTTCATAAAAATAAGGTCAAAATGGGCGGAGTTAGGTCCCAGGGTTCAAATTTCAAAATTTTCTCAACTAGGTCATGTTTATACTCATTTTGAAGCTCTTAAGATGCTGATTCCAAAAACTTTGATTTTATAAAAATTAGAAAAAATGGGCTGAGTTAGGTCCCAGACTTCAAAAGTTGGGAAAAAAAAATCAAAGATGGGTCTTGTTTATACTCATTTTGAAGCTCATAAAACGCTTATTTCAAAAATTCCAAGTTCATAAAAAAAGGTCAAGATGGGCGGAGTCTGGCCGTTTTCAAGACAAAAATACATTTTGGCTTCAAAATCAACTTGTAGGCTATTATTTACTCTCTCGATTTTTGCCACAAAACCAAAACCCCGTTTCCCTCAAGAAGTCAAACAAAAAAAAACCCGTGTAAACTGAAAACATAGTTCATTTGTAGTCCGTGTGGAGCACAATGAGCACATGTTTGCTCAGAAAGGATGACATAGGAAAGAGGGGTACAAGGTTCATTGGGTCCGCATAGATAGATGCTTCCAGAAAGAATTGGAGAGCAAGAAAACAAAAATTCCATGGGTGGTCCGATATTCATAAGAGTTCAAAAGGTCAAGGACCCTCTCACTTTGAGACAAATTATCTCGCCTCATGCCAAAGATATGATAAAGTGATCAACTGTCAAAATGTTTATCATAATATCAAAAATATTTTATCAGCTGACCACTTTTTGATATCTTTCAAAGAAGAGGAGATATATAAGCTCAAAGTTGAACAGTCAGCGCTCATCGGATGAGCTACACAATAGGCTGCCGACCTCTTAAGTTTGAGCCATTTTTTCTCGGTTCCTGTCGAAGATATGATAAAGGGGTCAAGTGATAAAATGTAACTGATTTCATGATAAACATTTTATCAGCTGACTACTTTTTGATATCTTCTACAAGAAGCTAGATAAATTGGGTCAAAGTGTACGGGATTTTTAGAGATATTTCAAATTTGAAATTCTCCAAACTCAGACTCGAAATTTTGAAATTAGAGCATCAGATTTATGCTTTGCGCATTTTCAGCTTCAAAAAGAGCCCAAACACAACTAGGATCCGCCAAATTTGAATTTTCGATATGACACGCGACGCACGACCGCGACGCAACAAAAAAATCAAAATGGGCGGAGCCTAGTCGTGTTTTGGCTCATTTCAAAGCTCACAATGAGCTGAACAAGATAATGATTACTGAAATTTGAAATTTTTAAAAATGATGAAAATAAATAAAAATCCAAATTTGTCAAACATTTTTTTTGCTTCGAGACTAATATTTTTGAAACTAGTCAGAATTCTGGTTTTTGATGATTTTTGTTGTTTTTTGCTAATCACTAGCTTTAAAATGAGCCCAAACACGACTAGGCTCCGCCCATTTTGAATTTTAAATATGACACGCGACGCACGACCGCGACGCAACATAAAAAAATTAAAATGGGCAGAGCCTAGGCGTGTTGGGGCTCATTTTAAAGCTCTTGACATTTCAAATAAAATAGAATTATTGAAAAGTTACACGGGTGATCCACTAACTTGTTATCTCATATCAAACATTTTTCAGTAGGCCAAAACTTTCAAAAAATCTCACCGTAATGACAGTTTGGTTAGCTCCAACTGCCTGTTGCTGATTCCCAGCCACCATAACCCTCACGGCCTCTTCATAGGACGGTGGTGCATCGAATTTCGGATCATAAGACGGTGATACTATGTACATTGGTGGATAACTTGAAGGACGGGCTGTTGTATCAGTTGGAGATGATAATGCCGATGTTGGCGAGAGACGAAGTACGGTTTGAGCTTGGCGTTGTTGCTGGAAGATTTGAATTTGGCGGGTTTCAAAGGCGCATAGTGTGGAAAACCGAGATTTTGTTTTTACAGGAATTTAGAATTTTAGAGTCTGAATTTTCAAATTTAAATCCTAGAGTGATATTCCGCGCGTTTTTAACTTTAAAATGAGCCCAAACACGACTAGGCTCCGCCCACTTTGAATTTTCATGTGACACGCGACGCACGACCGCGACGCGCCTGAAAAATCAAAGCGGGCACAGCCTGGTCGTGTTGATACTCATTTTAAAGCTCATGAAACACTGATTTCAAAAATCAATATTCAAAATCAATTCGATGCAAATGGGCGGAGTTAGGTCCTTAATTCTAAAAAAAACGTGAAACTTGGAAATTTGATTTTGAGGGATTTTGATATTTCAGACACCAAATTTGGAAATTTAGGCATCAGATTGATACTCCGCCCGTTTTTAGCTTTAAAATGAGCCCAAACGCGGCTAGGCTCCGCCCTCTTTGAATTTTCCATATGACACGCGACGCACGACCGCGACGCACCTAAAAAATCGAAATGGGCGGAGCCTGGGCGTGTTGGGGCTCATTTTGAAGCTCGTGATGAGCTGAGCAAGATTATAAGCACTGAAATTTAAAATTTTGAAAAATGAAGAAAATGAATCAAAATTTCAATTTTCCGAAAAAAAATTTTTTTTTTTGCTTCGAGACCCAAAATTTTGAAATTTGTCAGAGTTTTGATTTCAGATGTTTTGTGTTGTTTCCAGCTCATTATCCGCTTCAAAATGAGCCGAATCACGGCTAGGCTCCGCCCACTTTGAATTTTCCTATGGGACACGCGACGCACCGACCGCGTCGCGCCTGAAAAATCATAATGGGCGGAGCCTAGGCGTGTTGGGGCTCATTTCAAAGCTCTTAACTAGTTGTATTCAAAAATCTTACTTTTATAAAAATCCGATCAAAATGGGCGGAGCTAGAGCTCTATAAAGCCCCTTACTCACCTGTGTTCGCTGCCTAACACGTGCCGCCCGTCGGTTGTTGACCAACATACAAAACAGGGTGATAACAACTGATACAATTGCAATCGCGGCAATTATTAACACCTGGAAAAAAGTTTTTTTGAAAAGATTTTGAAGAAAAAATTTTCCTTAAACTTTCAGATTTTTTAAAAGAACCTACCGTCAATGCTCCATTTGGAATCCCGTTCCGAGATGAGGTCGTTGCATCTTCTGATTGATAATCGAGCGGCATTTCTGAAAACATGGAATTTCAGACAAAAAAAATTTTCAGAGCAAAAAAATAACCGTAAACACTCTAATAGAACACCACCCGGACCGTCCACTTTGAGCCTATATATCTCACTTCTCTTGAGAGATATCAAAAAATAATAAACAAATAAATTGTTTATCATAACATCAGCTACATTTTATCAATTGACCACTTTTTGATATCTCTCACTGAAAATGAGTTACATGGGCTCAAATGTAACGATGATTCGGGTGGCGTTCTATTAGAGTGTTTACGCTAATTTCAGCCAAAAATGAACAAAATTTCTAGACAGGAAATTTTCTAGACAATAATAATATATTTATTTGTTTGCTTATATAATTCTTATCACTATATCACTACAAAGGGGAGGGTGTTATTTCCGGAAATTTTGAAATTCTAGTTTTTCGAAAATTTTGAAATTGCACAACTAGCAGAATTGTCACGTACATGAGAGATATTATTTTATGACATTGAAAAAATTGTGGTCCCTAGTACATATGGTCATCATGTTACGTAGTTTTGGAAAGGGGTCCAATTTCAAAGAACTTTGATGGCACAAAAAATGTTTTTTTTGGTCCCGCCACGAAAAACCTACTGTAACTTCCTTAAACTTTCTTCGAATTAATTTTTAGGGTTGTAGTTGTATTTCTGAGTGTGAGAGCTTCAAAATGAGTATAAACATGCCTAAACTTGGTCATTTTTGGTTTTTGGCACATTTTTGGGTCCAAGCAATGCGGTAAAACTACCGTATCTCGGGTAGTTTTTGAGCAAACCGGAGGAAAGTTATATTTTTTTTATTTGTCTTGTTAAGAGCTTCAAAATAAGTATAAACATGAATAGGTTAGAGGAAATTTCAAAATTTCAGAAATTTTCGTGGTGGGACCCAAAATTCGAAAAATTTAAAATTTCTACAAACCTAGGCAAGAGTATATTTATTTTGAAGCTCTTAACTCGAAAAATGCAAAAATATAATTTTCATTTGAAAAATTCCAAAAGCCCAGAAGATACGGTATTTTGAACGATAGAATGTAAAAACTGAGCCACGCGGTAAAACTATCGTAACTCGGTTAGTTTTCGGACAAACTTTAAGAAAGTTATATTTTTCAAATCAATGAGTTCAGGGCTTCAAAATGAGTATAAATATGACCTACTATGAAAAACTCCAAGTATAAATATGATTGATTTCATTTTTAGAACATTTTTTTTTTGAAAATTTCAACAAAAACGATAATTTAAAAAATTTAGTACACCATAATTATATTCATTTTGAAGCTTAAAACAAGCTGAATGAGAATTTCAATGTCAAAATCACTAAAACATGAGTTAAAGCAAACTACAGTAACATTTTCAGACCAAAAACGTGCAGTTTCCAGAAAAAAGAAATTACCAAAAAAAAAGAAAAATTCTCCGTTCGCAACATTTTTTAAATAGTTTCTAATACGATTATGACTGTTTCCAGCACCAGTATTAAAATTGATAAAAATTGAATTCCCGAAAAAATAGGTCAAAGAATATACATTTTTCCAATTTTTAGAAAAAAAAAGTTTTTAATGAACACATTGCTGACTAACTTTTCTATATATTTATTTTTTTTAAAAAGATTATCACTAGACAATTAATTGATAAGAGAAGTAGAAGGAAAGGGAAGGAAGTGAGAAAATGATCAATTACTGTTATTTTTTGAGAAGAGGGCGAGAGGAAGAAGGAAGCTTATGGGTCATAGACAACTTAACTGAAATCTTTAAAACTACCGTATCCTTCTGCATTTTCAGTTTTAATTTTTTAAACTCATATATTTGAATTCAGCTCCTTTAGAGCTTCAAAATGATTATAAACATGACCTACTTTCGAAAATTTTTTTTTTTGGTCCCTGGGACCTAACTCCGCCAATTTTGATTGGATTTTAATGAAGTTTAGATTTTTGAATTCAGTTCTGTCAGAGCTTCAAAAAGAGTATAAACATGACTAGGTTTGTGAAACTTTTCAGATTTCCGTAATTTTCGTGATGGGACCCCAAAAATTTTGAAATTTCGAAACTTAGTCATGTTTATACTCAATTTGAAGCTGTAAATGTCACAAACTCAGAAATCTAACTTTGAATCGAAAAATCTCTAAAGTATTGGAGATACGGTAGTTAGAAGGTCGAACAGAGAAACAGGACATTACGGTAAAACTACCGTATCTGGGTTAGTTTTCGAGCAAACTAAGAGAAAATTATATTTTCGAATTTGCCAAATTAAGTGCTTCAAAATGAGTATAAACATGACTAGGTTTGTGAAACTTATCAGATTACTGTAGTTTTCGTGGTGGGACCAAAAATTTTGAAATTTCGAAACCTAGTCATGGTTATACTCATTTTGAAGCTCTTAACGTTAGAAGCTTAAAAATCTAGTGTTCGTTCGAAAAATCTCAAAAGTATTGGAGATATGATGGTAGTTTGATGATTGAACATGAAAACGGAGCAATGCGGTAAAACTACCGTAACTCGGTTAGTATTGGAGCAATTTCAAAAATTTTTGCATTTTTGAATTTTCCGTTTTTAGCGCTTTAAAATAAGTCAAAACATGGTTATACTTTTGAGAAAAAAATTTGGCGCCAAAACTCAAAGACTCAAATTCCGGAAACACTAGAGCCATTAAAGCTTACAGTAAGCTCTGTTTTAGAAAAGCTTGAAAAATGGGAAAAATGAAAAAAAAAGTAATGGCAAAACCAACAAAAAAGTAAAAAATAGAACTTTCCCTTTTTGAAGTGCAAAACAAATAACTGATATTTTTGATAAAATCGGAAAAGTAGAAGACATAATTTTTGGATTCGTTTAAATAGTTTTTTTTTTGAAGAAAAAATACATGATGTCAGATTTCAATAGAAAAGTTTCGAAAAGTTTTGAAATTTCCAAAAAAGTATAAAAATATATATATGAAATTCTGATAAGAAACAGATGAGTTAGGCGAAAATAGCAAATCAGCGAAAACAAAATTGTTTTGAAATTTTTTAAAGGTGGGGGGACATGAAAAAAATAATGTTCTCGAAATTCCGTTCAAAGATGCCCCTCGAGGAGTTGAACTTGTGAGGGCGATGATTGAGGGTGCGGAGCCGCTACCGACTGAGCCACGCGGGCAAAGAGAAAGCGCACGCCCGATTGCATACATAAAGGCGAGGACGACAGCTGTACGCAGAGTGACATTAAGCGTTGTACACCGTCACGGTAGAATGCATACTCTAGCTACAAAAAAACTACGAAAAATCTCCTGTCCCCCCACCTTTAAAATGCTAAAAATCTAGAAAGAAGTTTTATGAAAAACAATTCCTAATTGTAAGCCTCAGTAAAAATTTAGAAGTAGAAATAAAAAATCCACTGAGACATGGAAAAGTTGAAAAATTTTCAAAATGTTTGCACACAGACAAACACAAAAAACTAGTATTCATAGGCGGTACTAAAAGAGACAAGCTTTGCGGTATATTTTAGTACAGGGAGCTGCTATTTTAAAGTTGACAAACATTCGACGGCAAATTATTATTCCCCAAAAAAATTCCAAAAAAAAATTTTTTTCAAAATATTTTTTTTTTGCGTTTTATAATTAAAATAACTTGATTAATTATATTTTTTTGAATAAAAAAATAACATTGTTACTCGTTAAGCTACTCGGTATACATTACCCTCTAATATAAAGGCGGTTAGCACTCTAATCGAAACGCACCCCCCTAGTCTAGACATCTTCCAGAAGGCATATCTCGTTTCTTTGAATTTCTATCAAAAATGTGTCAACTACAAAAATGAAGCACTATTTTTGTTTAGTATATTTTTGAATTTTCAGATTAATCCAAAAAGTTTAAACCCCTTTTGTAGTGGGTCTAAGTTCACACTATAATAGAGCCTCCCTCTCAATCCCTTTACTTTGAACCCAAATATCTCGGTTACTGTAAGAGATATCAAAAAGTAACCAGCTAAAAAAATATTGCTGATATTGTGATAAACATTTTATCAATTTACTACTTTTTGGTATCTTTTACAGGAAGCGAGATAAATTGGCTCGAAATTAAAGGGCCAAAAAAATAGTGAGAGGGGGGGGGGACTCCCTTGAAATTCGACACCTCGGGGGTAACAAAAAATAATGAAATATTGAAAACTACGTATATATGTATGTATATATAATTGTAGACATGATACCCAAAAAAATAGACAAAAAATACATGTACAACAAAAATCTCAGGTTACTCACACACTTGTCAGAACCCAAAAAAATGAGCTGAGCCAGAGAAATAGATCTTTTTTGGCGATTTTCTTGGGACTTTGGAAAGTTCTAGAAGTGTTAACAATTTAGAAAAAATGAAAAAAAGGATTTTGTTTCTTGAAATTTCGACATCTTTTGGGACCTATAGGATGTTTTGTCATCTTCTGGGGCCTTTTTTGGGACTTTTAGGGCATTTTTGGACTTTTACCTTCGAGCCAATTTATCTCGGTTTGTGGGAAAGATATCAAGAAAAGGTTAATTGATGAAATGTAGCTGATAAAATGATAAACATTTTATCGATTGATCACTTTTTGATATCTTTCACAGTAAGCGATATATGAGCTCAAAGTTAAAAAGCCGGCAGTCGACCGTGTAGCACATAAGGCAAGCGCCAATTTTGAGCTAATTTATCTCGATTCCTGTGAAAGATATCAAAAAATGGTTAACTGATAAAATGTTACTAATGTCATGATAAAAATTTTATCAGCTGATTACTTTTTGATATCTGCTATAGTAACTTAAATAAATCGGCTCAACGTTAAGAGGTCGGCAGCTTGCTGTGTAGCTCATCCGGCAAGCCCCGACTTTTAACTTTGAGCCAATTCATCTCAATTCCTGTGAAAGGTATCAAAAAGTTGTCAATTTATAAAATGTAGCTGATAAAAATATGAACATTTTATTAGTTGATCACTTTTCGATATCTTCTACAGTAACCTAGATTAATTGGCTCAAATTTGACGGATCTGGGGGGCTGTTAGAGGTCATACGGTAGTCAAAATTGAACCTGTTTAAAATTAAGGTAAATGAACAAAATTTTATGGATTTTTTTTCTAAAAAGGATTACTGTAGAAGAAAACCCAATAAAGAAAATATCTCTTACCGTTCGTTGAATGGATGTTGTTGTGATGCCTCAAAAAAATATGGGAAAATGCGTCGAACTTTTTGCGAAAAAATGAAATTTTGGTTAGTTGAAAAAAGTTGGAAGTTTTCCCGACGGAGGTAGTATATACACAGAAAAGAGACAGGCGTTTTGTGATATAGTGTATGTTTGCTCATTTCTTCCCCTCTCCTGTGGTGCCGCCCGTCGTCTTCGATCCTGGAAAAGTAAACATGACCCGATGAGAGAGAGAGAGATGAGAAGTAAAATATAGAAACTTTTTTCGAGAGAAGAACTTTTGTGTGTTTGTCAGCATTCATTCAGTTTTTCGGTGGAAAAGGAACGGAGGAATGATAAGGGTGGAAGAGGAAGAAGGGAAAGTAAGGCCAGGAGAAGGGCAAAAATATTACAAGGCAACATCTAAAAGGTCAAGGTTAGAGGAAGAGAACTTGAGAGGAGGGGAAAATTAGGTCATGAAATCCAATGAGTCAGATGTCCCTATCAGCCAATTAAACAATTATTCAATCTTTGCAAGCATATTACTATGAGTAGATGGTTCTTGACAGTCATACTGTAAACACTAATAGAATTCCTCCTAAGCTGTTAACTTTGAACCCATTTATCTTAGTTCCTGTAAGAGATATCAAGAAGTGATAAACTGACAAAACGTTTATCATGTTATCAGCAATGTTTCATCTGCTGACAACTTTTTTTATATATTCCACAGGAACCGAGATAAATTGACTCAAAGTTAATAGGTCGGCAACGTATTGTGTAGCTCATCCGGCAAGCGCCGACGTCTCACTTATGAGCCAATTTATCACAGTTCCTGTGAAAGATATCAAAAAGTTGTCAACTGATAAAATGTAGCTGATAAAAGGAGAAACATTTTATTAGGTTACTACTTTTTTATATCTTCCATAGGAAATGTTTACGGGATTGTTTACGGGATTATTCTTCGACGGCTAGGAAGCTGATTAAAAAAGTGGCTCCAGTTCTAAAGCTCGCTCTTTGTTTTTTTTTTGAAGCAAGTAGCTCAAATGATGTATGGTTTCCATTTACAAAACCTGCCAAATCCAAAAATCAAAATTTCAGAAAAAGTCTATGAGCCCTGAGAGCTAGCCTAAGAACCTGTAATAGAAGGACTCTCTAGCTGCCAAGTTTCAGCTCATATGTATATCTCATTTCCTGTAAAATTTATCTAAAAGTGATCAACTGGCAAAATGTTTATTATAATATCGGCAACATTTTATCAGTTGACAACTTTTTGCTATCTACCTCAGGAATCGAGATAAATTGGCTCAAAGAATGCGAGATTAGCAAACTTGGCTAGTCCCGCCCCTTTTCCACACTTGAATGTCCTATCTACGTTATAAAATTGCGACCTGCGGTGTATGCAGACTCAGTGCAAAACACTCAATTTTTGTACTGAGTCTGCATACACCAAAGTCCCAGTTTTATAATTCTGACAATAGTTCGTTATTGACTGCCTGGAATCAAAAAAATTCCGCCAAAATACTCCCCTGGGAAGCCCCGCCCCTTTTTTCACATCTTCGGGTTACTGTAGGAGAGATCAAAAACAAGTCAACTAACAAAATGTTGCTGATAATAAGATAAATATTTTATCAGTTGATCACTTTTTGATAACTTTTATAGGAACCGAGATAAATCAGCTCAAAGTCAAGAGGCCGTGTTGTGGCAAGCGCCGACTTTTCAACTTTGATCCAAATTATCTCTATTCCTGTAAAAGGTATCAAAAAGTGGTCAACTGATAAAATGTAGCTGATATTATGATAAACATTTTGTCAGATTACCACTTTTTGATATCTTTTACAAAAAGCGAGATATAAGAGCTCAAAGTTAAGAGGCCGGCAGCCGACCGTGTTGCTCATGCGGTGAGCATCAACTCTTCAACTTTGAGTCCATTTATCTCGGTTCTCGTAAAAGGTATCAAAAAGTAGTCAACTAATAAAACGTTTACCATAATATCAGAAATATTTTATCAGTTTATCACTTTTTGATATCTCTTACAGGAACCAAGATATATGACCTCAAAGTTGAGGGTGCGAAAGGGGGAGGAGAGGCACTATATTAGAGTGTGCATTTTGATCCCCTACAAAAGGGCTTCAAATTTGTTCAAATTATCTGAAAAATTCAGAAAACACTAAACAAAAATAGAGCTTCATTTTTGTAATTGACATTTTTAGATAGAAATTCAAAGAACCAAGATATGCCACTTGGAAGATGTAGATTCCCTTCAATCAATTAAGGTCAATGTCATGAAAACTGGTTTTTTCTAACTTTTTCAATTAATTCCTCTATCCCTTTCTTTCTCTAAACCTCTCAATCTCTTGTTTCTCCCTTCAAAATCTCCAAATTACCTTTTAGAATTCATTCATTTACTCTCCCTTAATGACATCCAACTGTTTTTTCGATGTCTCCCATATCCTTTTTTGATTTTCTTTGAAATTTTATGATTTTCTAGTATTTTTAAAAATTAATTTTCTTAAAAAATTCTTAAAATGTAAGTTTTTTAAATAATTCTAATAATTTTTTTAAAATTAAAAATTGAAAATTTCCAGACTGCATAACGCAAATTACCGTAGCTGAAGCTGCTAAAATGGGAGAACGGTGAGCCAATTTTTGGAAGTTTTTTGAGTTTTTGAATTTTTTGTATTCCTTGAAATTTTTTGAAAAATTGATTTTAAAAAAAAATTTAGTTTTTAATTTTTCAGACTACTTAGATTATAATCTGGATGAGCACCATCGAGTCGATTTAGAATCGGACAACTACATTTTTAATTATTTTTTAAAATTTTTATTTATATTAAATTGCAATACATTTATTTTTTAATAAAACGGTTTTTTTTGGGTTTATCAGATTTTTCGAAACACTTTGATACCAAAAAATGCTGAAAAATGCGAAATTTGGGTCCCTAGGAATCTGAAAATGTCAAAATTTCGATTTTTTCAATTTTTGTCTTTTTTAGTAGAAGTATTGTTTTGACAACTTTAAAAGCAAAAAATTCTAGTTTTTCAGATTTTTTGGAACATTTTCTTGTCAAAAAATACTCAAAAATCGAAATTTTGAGATATTTCAAAAATGCAGATTTTTCAGAATTCTCGAAATCGAATTTTTCTTCAATCATAATTCTGGAAATTTTCGGAATTTGAGTTTTTAGCACTAAATTTCGAAATAAGCGAAAAAAAACGCTTTAAAATGAGCCTAAACACGACTATATTCCTTTAAAATGGGTCCCACCACGAAAACTACAGTAATCAAAAAAAAAAAATTTCGGAACCTGTTGGGGCTCAATTTGAAGCTCTAAACGAGTTCGAAAAGGAAATGAAGGTCAACATTGTAAATTTTAAAAAATAGGGAAAAATTTCGAAAATGCGAAAAAACTTTTTTTTCCGAAAGTTTTTTTTTCAATTTTTTTGTTTCAATACCCAAATTTTTTGATTTCTAGTATTTTTTTATCGATTTTAGCTCATTATGAGCTTCAAAACGAGCTCCATATCGTCTAGGCTCCGAACACTTTAATTTTTCCCGACGCGTCGCGGGCGTGCGTCGCGTGTCTAATTGAAATTTCAAAGTGGGCGGAGCCTAGGCAATATGGGGCTCATTTTGAAGCACTGAGCGAGCTGAAAAAGGATTTATAAATTTAAGTGGAAAATTCTGAAAAAAAAACGCAGAATATGGCAAAATTTGTAGAAAATCATTTTTTCGAAATTATTTTTTCTATTTTTTGCTTCAAACACACACATTTCGATTTCTATGGTTTTTTTTTCGTTTGAGCTTATCATCAGCTTCAAAACAAGCACCATATTGCCTAGACTCCACACACTCTCATTTTTCCCCGCGCGTCGCGGTCGTGCGTCGCGTGTCCATGTGAAATTTTAAAGTGAGCGGAGCCTTAGCAATATGGGGTTCATTTTGAAGCTCTCGTCGAGTTGAGCAACATTAAATAAATTTGAGTTGAAATTTTTTAAAAATAAGCGAGTTATGTGCAATTTTCAAAAAATTGAATTTTAGAATTTTCTGAAATTTTTCCTTTTTCTAATTTCCGGGTTATCAATTAATGTTTTAAGTAGTTTCCAACTTAAAGTCATCAATTTTGGATACACTACAGACAAAAAAATTTTTAGACTTTTCTCTAAATTTTCAGTTCTTTGCAATCAATTTTCCTACTGCATCATACCACTCAAAAATGATAAAAAATTAGTGATAAGAAGGGCTCCAAAAACCTTCAACTTTGATCAAGGAACCCGAGTGAGAGAGTATGTCGAATCGAGAGACGCAGACAGTGTGAACGTGAATAAATTAAAAATCGCGGGTGAAAAAGTGGGCGGAGTCTGGCGTCACAAAATGTGTCGTCGTCTGGAATCTCTCGATTTTCAGCACTATTTCAGCTAGAAATCCACGCCTAAAGTTCATAGATAATTCCGGAGAAGTTTCGTGAGGTTTTGTAGGAATTTCAGACTATAAAAATGTGCTGAAATTTCAGATTTTTTAAGAAAAACAATTTTTTTTTTTCCAAAATTTCATATTGTCATGTGTCTCTTTTCTTTTCTTATCACTTTCTATAGACAATAATAATAAACATATTTAAACACTTTTAGTACTAACTTTTTTTTTTCAGAAAAAAATGGAAAACGAAAAATCCGAGCAAATCATGGATTTTTGCTCAGAAGAGAGCCCAAAACGGCGGGAGGCTCAACAAACATACGAAATTCAAGTGGAGATTGACGATACGCCAGATGTAAGTAGGAAATTTACATTTTTCAGTCTTTTTCGAACATTTTGGTACCAAAAAATACCAAAAAATCTGATATTTAAGATACCTTAAGCACTCTCATAGAACGCCACCAGGACCGTTTTCTTTGAACATATGTATCTCATTTTCTGTGAGAGATATCAAAAAGTGGTAAACTAATAAAATGTTGCTGATATCATGATAAACATTTTATCAGTTGACCACTTTTTGATATCTTTCAAAAGAAGTGAGATATTTAGGCTCAAAGTTAACGGTCCGGGTGGCGTTCTATTAGAGTGTTTACGACTGCTATAGCATTTTCGAAATTAAGAAATTCAAAATTTTCAGACTTTTTGGAGCATTTTGGTACCAAAAAGTCTGAAAATTTTGAATTTTTTAGTCCCGAGAAATCTGAAAAATGTCAAAATTTCGATTTTTGGAATTTTTGATATTTTCTAACTTTTTTTTGTAAAAATGAAGATTTCGTTGGTTCGAAAATGTGAAATTCAAATTTTTCAGAATTTTTGGAGCATTGTGGTACCAAAAAGTACTGAAAAATCTGTAATTTTGGTCCCTAGAAATCAGAAAAATGTCAAAATTTCGATTTTTGGAATTTTTGATATTTTCTAACTTTTTTTGTAAAAATGAAGATTTCGTTGGTTTGAAAATGTGAAATTCAAATTTTTCAAAATTTTTGGAGCATTGTGGTACCAAAAAGTGCTGAAAAATCTGTAATTTTGGTCTCTAGAAATCTGAAATTTTCCAAAATTTCAATTTTTGGAATTTTTGATATTTTCTAACTTTTTTTGTAAAAATGAAGATTTCGTTGGTTTGAAAATGTGAAATTCAAATTTTTCAAAATTTTTGGAGCATTGTGGTACCAAAAAGTGCTGAAAAATCTGTAATTTTGGTCTCTAGAAATCTGAAATTTTCCAAAATTTCAATTTTTCAATTTTCAATAATCAGAACTCTTGTAGTTTTTGAAATTATGATTGGGCGTACTATTTTTCGGAATGGGCAGAAAAAATGCTTCAAAATGAGCCTAAACGCGACTAGGCTCTGCCCACTTTGAAAATTCACCTGAGCACGCGACGCACGACCGCGACGCGCCACTGAATAATCAAATTGGGCGGAGCCTAGTCGTGTTTAGGCTCATTTTGAAGCTCTTGACGAGCTGAAAAAGGATATGAAGGTTTGAGTTTGAAATAAACAAAAATAAGCGAAATATGAGTAATTTCCTAGAAATAGGAAAAATATCAAAAATTCGATTTTTTGGAATTTTTGCCATTTTTCAGTTTTAGGCTAGAAATAATGTTTTGACAACAGTAATAACTAAAAATTCAAGTTTTTCAGATGTTTTTGGAACATTTTGGTAGAAATCTGAAAAATGTCAAAATTTTGATTTTTTTTCAATTTTTGGAATTATCATTTTTTCAATCATCTCTAGAATTTTCTGGAATTTCGATTTTGTGCATTAATTTTCAAAACAAGCAAAAAAATCTTTCAAAATAAGCCTAAACACGCCTAGGCACCCCCCCATGTTGATTTATTTAGGTGCGTCGCGGTCGTGCGTCGCGTTGTCGCGTTTCATAGGGAACATTCGAAGTGGGCGGAGTCTAGTCGTGTTTGGGCTCATTTCGAAGCTCTTGACGAGCTGAGAAGCAATATGAAACTTCGAGTTTGAAATTTCAAAAAAAAAATGGCAAGATATGAGCAATTTTAAGGAACATTTTGGTACCAAAAAATAGGGGAAAATGTGAAATTTTGAGCTTATTTTCAAAATACGAGGACAAAATGTGTTGTTTTCAGACTACATTCAGTTGGCGCAAGTTATGGGCATTCACGGGACCCGGTTTTCTCATGTCCATCGCCTATTTGGACCCCGGAAACATAGAATCCGACCTTCAAGCCGGTGCAATTTCATATTTCAAGCTTATCTGGGTCCTAATGTTGGCTCATATCATGGGATTGCTCCTTCAAAGACTCGCCGCTCGTTTAGGAGTGGTTTCTGGGAAACATATGGCTGAAGTGGCGTATTCCTACTATCCAAAAGTCCCTAGATTGATTTTATGGCTGTTGGTGGAGAGTGCAATTGTTGGAAGTGATATGCAAGAGGTTATTGGGACAGCAATCTCCTTTTATTTGCTGTCCAATGGAGCGTAAGTGCATTCTTTTGTTATTTTTACATTCTAAGGATTAGAATAATCTTTATTTTGAGCCGAAAATCTTCAAAATCGGCTGAAAACTAAGGAAGTTAGGCTAACACTGAGAATGTTAGGTAATAGGCTAAGGGATCAAATTTTGGGTCCTAAATATATCAATTTTCATTCTAAGTTTCTGAAATTTAGATTTTCGTATTTTGCAAGTTTAGAGCTTCAAAATGAGTATAAACATGTCCTACTTTGGAAAAAATATATTTCTCGAAATTGTTTTTTTCCAATTTTAGGGCTCGGATTATGGAAAATCTACCGTAACTTGGTTCATTTTAGTCCAAACTCAAAATTTTTAATATTCCAAATTTTGCTTGATTTGAGCTTCAAAATGAGTATAAACATGACCTACTTTTGAAAAATCGAAATTTCTGAAAAATTTTGGGATCAAACTGAAAATCGATCATAAATTGGTCAGTTTTTGTCCAAACTCAAAAACTTTTGCTGTTTTGGGTTTTGCTTGTTTTGAGATTTGAAATGAATATAAACATGACCTACTTTGACCTACTTTGGAAAAAATGATATTTGTCAATATTTTTGGGACGAAACTGTAAGTCTACCGTAACTTGGTTCATTATCGTCCAAATTCAAAAATTTTTGCAGTATTGTGTTTTTTTTTGTTTTGAGCTTTAAAATGAGTATAACCAAGACCTACTTTTGAAAATAGATATTTTCGAAATTTTTGGGTCCTAAATGAAAATCGATCATAACTCGGTCAGTTTTTGAGCAAACTCAAAAATTTTACCAGATTTGAGTTTTGCTTGTTTTCAGCTTAAAAATCAGTATAAACATGACCTACTTTTGAAAATCGAAATTTCTGAAAAATTTTGGGACCAAGGTCAAACATTTGAAATTAAATTTTTTTTTACAGAATCCCCCTCTGGGCCGGAGTACTCATCACAATCTGCGACACGTTCACATTTTTGTTCCTCGAAAAGTATGGAGTTCGAAAATTCGAGGCATTCTTCTGTTTTCTGATTACCATGATGGCTGTGACATTTGGCTATGAGTTTGGTGTTAGTCAGCCGGATGCGGTAAGGGGACAAACGCGACACACAGACAGACACAGAAATTTGTATTTTAGGGAAAAATGTTCACTGGAATGTTTGTGCCATGGTGTACCGGATGTGATAACAATATGGTCATGCAAGGTGTGGCAATTATTGGAGCTGTTATTATGCCACATAATTTCTATTTGCACTCGGCGTTGGTAAAAGTGAGCGGGAACTTTGAATTTTTTTTGGGGTTTTTTTGGATTTTGAGTTATATCTCAAGAAAGAGGACCCAGGTTAAAAAATGCTTAATTACAAAAATGTAGTGTATAAAATTTTACACATTTCATCAGGTTTATCCTTGTTGGCAGCTTAACAGGCGTTTGAGTTATGAGCCTTTAAAGTTTAAAGCTTGTATCAAGCTATCGGATTGTTTTCAAACAGTTATAACTCAAGAACCAGTGCATTTATTTGGATGTTTAAAATGCTTTAATATGCAAAATGTTATGCTGAATATTTTTGTAATTTACACTTTTTCTCTAGCTTCCATGGTTCTGGAGATATGGGGAGTTAGGTTAACCCTTAAGTGAAGGCGTTATCCCTTAAAGGTGGGGGGACATGAAAAAAATAATGTTCTCGAAATTCCGTTCAAAGATGCCCCTCGAGGAGTTGAACTTGTGAGGGCGATGATTGAGGGTGCGGCGCCGCTACCGACTGAGCCACGCGGGCAAAAAGAAAGCGCACGCCCGATTGCATACATAAAGGCGAGGACGACAGCTGTACGCAGAGTGACATTAAGCGTTGTACACCGTGACGGTAGAATGCATACTCTAGATACAAAAAAACTACGAAAAATCTCCTTTCCCCCCACCTTTAATGCTTAACAAGCGCCTTCAACTAATCTTTAACGCTACACGCACGTTTGATAGCAATTATCTCAGGAACCAACAAAGCAATTTAATTTTTTAAAAATACTATCTTATGTAAAATTTTATACTTAATATTTTTGTAGTTGACACTTTTTGCCTAGCTGTCATGGTTCTTGAGATAATGGGTAATATCTTCACCTAGGTCTCTTTTTTGGCGTCTAGCTACCAATACTCGTTATCTCGACTTCTAGACAAGCTAGAAACTTGATTCTTTTTGTGTGTTTTCATATATTTTCAACTTTAAATATGATCAAAAACAAGATTACTCATTTCAGTCCCGAAAAGTGGATCGTCGTCGTGCTGAGAAGGTCACCGAAGCCAATAAATACTTTTTCATCGAGTCTGCATTTGCACTCTTCGTTTCCTTCATTATTAACACTTTAGTGGTATCAGTGTTCGCTCAAGGAATGTTCGGAAAGACTAATAATGATATTGTGAGTTTGTGAAATTCGAAACTGCAAGAATTGTTCGTCTTGGTTGACAACTGACCGAGTTGTGATCGATTTTCAATTTGACCCCCGAAATATTCTGAAATTTGAATTTTTCAAAAGTAGGTCATGTTTATTCTCATTTTGAAGCTCTAATCATGCTAAATTCAAAACTGCAAAAAAAATCAATTTGCATAAGAACTGGACTAGATATGATCGATTTTCGGTTTGGTCCCGAAATTTTTGTAAAAATTAAAATTTTAAAGTGTGTCTTGTTTATATTCATTTTGAAGCTTAGAACAAACTGAACTTAAAACTTCTTGAATTTTCAAATTTGGACGAAAACTGAGCAAGATATGTTTCAGAGAGGTGTATGCTATAACAACACACATAATGGAATGCCCTACTTTTATAAATCCGAATTCCCAGCGAATGATGACCCAATTCAATCGGATATTTATCATGCTGGCATCTTTCTTGGTTGCACTTTTGGAGTTTTTGCACTTTATGTATGGGCTGTGGGAATTTTGGCATGTGGACAGTCTTCTACAATGACAGGCACATACGCTGGACAGTTCGCTATGGAGGTACGCGGCTCGCCGTTCATATACGCCTTCCACAGCTCCGTTCTCATTGTGCGCCTGTAGTGTAGTGGCGCGCGTGTGCGCTTTGATGCGACACCTCCCGGGTTCGACTCCTTGCTCGATTTTTTTCTTTTTTCTTCTTTTTTAAACATTTTATTGGTTTCAGGGCTTCATCCAAATCCAACTCCCCCAATGGAAACGTATTCTCATCACTCGCTCGCTCGCTATCCTCCCCACACTCGCTGTGGTCATTTTTTCCGGAGGAATTGATAATATTTCAAGCTTAAACGACTTTTTGAATTGCTTGCAGGTAGGAATTTAAACTTTTTTAAGTTAAAAAAGTTAATATTTCAGCTAGTCCAACTCCCGTTCGCTTTGATTCCAGTCTTGACATTCGTCTCTGATAAGAGGATCATGCACGAGTATGCGTTGGCTAGGTATGTATGTATCTCGGAAACTAGTAAAGATATGAGGAAACTACAAACTACAAAATAGAAGAATGCAAAATTTTAGACATTTTGATATTTGTTACGTGTTCATATCTTTTTTAGTTCGTGAGATATGAGTGTTTGAAGATAAAGTGAGTCATTAAAGGTGTCCCTGCAAGAAAAAACCGTATATCTCAATAACTAAAATAGCTATATAAAAACTACAAACTACAAAAATAAAGAGCACAAAATTTTACACATTTTGATATGTTTTTTGTTTCTGTAGCTTTGGTGGTTCGTAAGATATAAGAATATAAAAAATTCATAGCTAAAAACGAAAATTCCAAGGAAAATAGCCGTATATTAGGTGCCATATAAGCTATTTCTTTGAATTTTATATCAAAATGTGTGGAATTTTCCCTGTTTTTCAAAAATATACTATTTTCTAGTGTCTCCAAAACGGTCTCCATCGTAATCTCTCTTATCATTCTCTTCATCAATTTCTATTTCCTCTACTCCTGGATTGGATCGCAATTCGGCTACAATGACATTTCTATTCCGATTACTGTCATTTTTGCAATATTCTATATTATTTTTATTGCTTATTTGGTGAGAAATTCAAAAATTTTGAAAAAAATTGAAAAAAAAATCATTTTTTCAGACCTACTACTGCCTGGTAGCCATGAACTTCATCCCGCCCATCAAAAATTCGGTTAGTTTTAAAAATTTCCAGATTTTTTTACTGAATTTGTATTTAGGATGATTAGAGCTTCAAAATGAGTATAAACATGACCTAGTTTTGAAAAATCGATATTCCCCAATTTTTTGGGTTCAAATAGAAAATCTACCGTAACTTGGTTCGTTTTTGTTCAAATTCAAAAATGTTTGCAGTTTTGAGTTTAGCTCATTTTATGCTTCAAAACGAATATAAATAAGACAAACTTAAATATTCCAATTTTTCAGAAATGGCTCGCCGAGCCCATCTACCACGACTTTGATGCTCCGTGGCTCGAGCGGCGTTCAGTTGATAAGGATTCAATTAGTGATGAGCAATCATGGAGATATTAATCCGCATTGTTATTTGTATATCTTTCAAACCCTTTGATCTCAAAATTTTGTTTTTCAAAAAAAAAATTTTATTTTTCAAAAAAAGTTTTTTTCAAATTTTCGAAATTCCTGGTTTTCCCGCCAAAACTTTCTTGACCAACTCGACACACTCGAGAGCACAACCCCAATGAAGGGTGATTCCAGATCCGCCATGTCCATTGTTATGAATAACTTTCGAATCAGGCTCCGCCTCCAATCTTACTGTAACTCGAGATGGTCGCAAATCCACGTGGCTTGAGATGACTTGAGCGGATCGAAGAGATGGAATGTTTTTGCAGTTTTCTTGGAATATTTTTTCAGAAATTTTGGGATTTATGGTTCGATCCCACTGGTGACGATCGGCGGTTCCGCCGAGGGTAATGGTGGTGTCGCTGGAAATTTGAAATTTAGGGGACAAAATAAAGCAAAAACTATTAAAAACCCCTTTCCCATACTCCTACATAAAAACAAAAAAGTTTGAGCCTAGGTGGAGTCGAACCCCGGACCTCACAGGTGATTCGTGATTGACCAATTACAGAAGAAGGGCTATAATTGACCAATTACTTATCTACCGCGAACGAGAGGCTCTACAATTGACCATTCGTGAGCAAAATGCGTATCTTACTAAATGGCCCTATAAAAGGTCCGCAATTGAACAATCGCGAAGAAATTCTTGTTTTTTATTTTCCGAATTTCGTTTTCTTATTTTGGATACTTTACTTCTTTTTTCGCCGTTTTCCTCGCAGTTTTTGTTCGGAATCTATTAATTAACATATAATATACTATACTAGAATACTGTATAACCATGAATGTATCGTTTTGTTTGCAGAAAAAAATAGAGAAAATGGCCGGAAGACAAAAGTCGGAAGCAAGAAGCCGAAATTCTGAAAAACTCTGGAAGAAGCATTGCTTCTGTACTTTCAAAAGGTAAGAAGCGTCCAGAAAATCCGAATTTTTAATCTAATTTTTACAGGGTGCCAGAAAATCTCCATTTTCCTGTATGTCCGGAAAAATGCAACTGAGAATGAGGAAGGAAAAAGTTCTGGAACAGTGGGTAAATTTGAAAACGAATATCAGAGAAAAAAGTTGATTTCAGACGGAAGTGTTAAAGGTGGGGGGACATGAAAAAAATAATGTTCTCGAAATTCCGTTCAAAGATGCCCCTCGAGGAGTAGAACTTGTGAGGGCTTGTGATTGAGGGTGCGGAGCCGCTACCGACTGAGCCACGCGGGCAAAGAGAAAGCGCACGCCCGATTGCATACATAAAGGCGAGGACGACAGCTGTACGCAGAGTGACATTAAGCGTTGTACACCGTTACGGTAGAATGCATACTCTAGCTACAAAAAAACTACGAAAAATCTCCTGTCCCCCCCCCACCTTTAAGTTCGCGGATTCCGAAAAAAATTTCCAGTCGATAACTTGTGTCAGAGGTATAGTACAAAAAGAATTGGGAGCTTAAAATCTAGATAGATCATTTCAGTTACTTCGAAACAACAATCAACATCATCTTCTGCTCATCGTCATCGACTGAGGCAAAAATGGACAAAACGAGAAGCTCCGATGCCGTTTCAGCCAGTTCGACAATAGCGGAAGAGAATAATATAACTTTTAATTAATTGTTTTTTTTTGTGTAATAAACAATTTTTAGCAGCTGCTAGCTTCCAGATTCGAATCAATATATGTGCCAATTGTTGCTCTCGCGACAAGCCAATTGTAGGAGATTTGCTCGCGATAGGGCGAATGTTGGTCGTTTGCGGTGGCGCGTTCGCGATTGGTCTGTAAATGGCCTCCCCACACTTTAACTAAATAACAAAAAAGTTTGAACCCAGGTGGTGTCGAACCCCTGGCCTTCAGATTGGTGGGCAAAAGCGTAAATCACTAGACCACAGCAAGCACTGAAGGAATAGGAGTGCAAGGCGTATACAATGGAAAGGGAGTGCGAGAGATGAGGGTGGAGATGGGGGAGAGGGCGCAGAGATTTAGGTGTGTCCCAAATAAGTTCCAAACGACGTTTTAAACTTCAAAATACATGAAAATCAACTCAAAAATCGCTTAAAGATGCCATAAAATCAGTGAAAACCCTTATTTTTTGAATTTAAAAGACATATCCTAAATTTAACGCTAAATATCTCAGTTCCCGATTAAAATAGAAAAGAGGAATCAACTAGTAAAATGTGTAAAATTCAATTTTAAACCGTTTCGTTGTTGACAACTCTCTGGTATCTTTTCCAGGAATTTAGATAATTCCATCCAAAAAATGCTAATCAATTTTTCTGGGGTCAGGATTTCAGAAACTCATAGAAACTAGACCAAAAACCATTAAAACCATCTTCCCTAGACTTTTAAATAAAAACAAAAAGTTTGAGCCCAGGTAGAGTCGAACCCCGGACCTTCAGATTGGTGGACATAAGCGTAATCCACTACGCCAGGGCAGACAGTGATGTAGTAGAGGTGCAATGCGTACACAATGGAGAGTGAAAGCGAGGGTGAAGAGGGCGTAGAGATAGAAAAAAGGGTGATCCCGGGTGACTGGAACTATCTTAAAAAAGGTCTGGAATTCACAAAATACATGGAATATAGCTCAAAAATCGTGAAAAATCCTTTAAATATTATAAAAACTCACTTTAAAAGTGCATAAAACTGATCATCAATGAAGAAATGCTTAACACTTGGGCATTTGACCTTTAAAATTTGTCCCCTTGTCGGAAAGACTTCATTATCCCCAATTAAATGTCTTGCTCCAATTCCAGTACAGTTCAGAATCACATCGAAGAGCCCGAATTCCTTTTCGACGTCTTCTATCTTTTGAATTTTTGAATTTTTGATTTTCCCGCCATTTTTCAAAAATTTATCGGATTCCCATTTGATATACGGTGTTGGTTCCAGGTACCAAGTTGTGTAGAAAATGCCGAATCTGGAAAAATTTTAAAAAGTCGAAATTTTTAAAAAATTTTGAATTTTTTAAATTTTAGACATTTTAGACATTTTCTTGGTTTCCATCATCTGTTCGAGTCTGAAAAACGAGTTTTTCAGATTTTTTGGAACATTTTGGTACCAAAAAATACTGAAAAATGTGAAAATTTTGGAATTTTTGGAATTTTTCAAATTTTTAGTCAAAATTGAATCTTTTTAGAATCATAACTCTGGAAATTTTCTGAATTTCAATCTCATGTACCAATTACCAGAATAAGCAAATAAATTGCTTCAAAATGAGCCTAAAAACGACTAGACTCCGCCCACTTTGAAATTTCAACTGAGCACGCGACGCACGACCGCGACGCGCCACTGAATAATCAAAGTGGACGGAGCCTAGTCGTGTTTAGGCTCATTTTGAAGCTCTTGATGAGCTGAGCAAGAATGTAGGATCGAAATTTCCAAGAAACTACCGAGAAATCTGAAAATCGAAAAAAAAATTTGACAAAAAAAATGTTTTTCTCAATAATTCCGAAAAGTTGCTCACTTGTGTTCTGGTCGCTTGGCGACCATTTTCAGCTCATTTCCAGTCAAAATTTTCACATTTTTCATGACTTCCAACCATTTCGGCACCGATTTCACACTTTGAAGCCAATAACCGGATTGCTCCTGACTCTTAGAAAATTTTGAAAAAATAATTTTTAGAATTTTAGAATTTTTTTAGAAATTCACCTCTGCTCCAGGGTTCCCTTCATTCATGTATTCCTGAATACGCTGAATAGTTGATTTTGTCCAACTTCTGAAAACAATGTTTTTTTGAAAAAAATTTTTTTTTTGGAATTTTAGATTTTTTATCTGAAATCAGTCTAATGTGGTCCAAATCAATTGAAATTAATTTTTTGAGTTCACAAAGTCAAGAGCTTCAAAACGAGCCTAAACACGACTAGGCTCCGCCCACTTTGATTATTCAGTGGCGCGTCGCGGTCGTGCGTCGCGTGCTCAGTTGAGATTTCAAAGTGGGCGGAGTCTAGTCGTGTTTAGGCTCATTTTGAAGCATTCTTCAAGCTTATTTCGAAAATTAAAATAAAAAATTAAAATTCCAGAAATTTAAAAAATTACGATTGAAAAAATATTTCAAAAATTCAAAAAAAAATCCCAAAAATTTCAATTCCTCATATCTCGGCTCATTTTCAACGGATTTTCAAAACCTCTGAATTTCTAGATTCCTTATTTTCTGTATTTTCAGATTTTAACACAAAATCCTAGGAAAGTCTTACATAACACGGTCCACGTCATCATCACAAAGATAGGGTTCAATGAGACCAGCGGCAACGTCACTCGTCGTGTTTGGAGAGAATTTCTCGGCGATTATGGTGACCTGAAACAAATTTTTGTCATTGATCTCTTATCGGTTATCAGTTTTGCAAAAAAAAAAATTTTTTTTGAAAAATTCTAAAAAATGCAAATGCGCTCTAATAGAATTACCACAGAGTCCGGAATTCGTTCCTGAATGGCCAACGCTGTGGAGACGCCCATTATTCCAGCACCCAGGACACAGATTCTGGGCATTTTTTGGCTGAAATTTGAAAAAAATCCATAAATTCAAAAATCTAGGTCATGACCTAGAAAATTCAAATGTCGGTCTAAAATGGCCTTAAAATGTGCTGATAATTGTCAAAAAATGTCTGAAAATAGTAAAAAATGGTCTAAAACAAAATTTTGGAAAATTCCAAAAATCTCAAAAAAAATTTTTTTTTCAAAAATTTTCTACATTTTCGTACATTTACACCTATTCAAAAATAGTTTCCTAGCAGGACATGTGCACCTAAAACGACGAAACAGTTAAGCAAATAATAAAATTTTGATAAGAAACCAATTTTTTTTCATTGAAATTTCAGATTTTTAATCTGAAATTAGTCAAATGTGGTCCAAATCAACTGAAATTAATTTTTCTGAATTTAAAGAGTCAAGAGCTTCAAAATGGGTCTAAACACGACTAAGCTCCGCCCACGTTGATTATTCATTGACGCGTCGCGGTCGGTGCGTCGCGTGCTCAGTTGAAATTTTAAAGTGAACGGAGTCTAGCCGTGTTTAGGCTCATTTTGAAGCATTTTTTTTGCTTATTTCGAATATTAGCATAAGAAATCAAGATTCCAGAATTTTCCAGAGTTATGATTGAAAATATTGAACTGTACAATCTTCACATACAATTTTTTTATTTATTTATCGATGTATAAATTTCTTCAGAACAACAAAAAGTGACTAGAGTCAAGACCCAGATATCAAATTATCAAAATCAATATGCCAAATTATCGATTTTTCGAAAAGTTCAAAAAAATTTATCAATGTTTCGGGAAGTGTGGTGATTGTTGATGATGAACAACTTGTGGATTGAAGTACGCCTGTCCTCCAGGCATACTGTAGCCGGGATACTGTAGTTGTGATGGCTGTGGGAAACATGGAGATTGGAATGGGGTGGATTGAAGTGACGGGCTCACGGAGCACATGCCACATGAGCCAGTTTCACAGCATTGGGTGGATGAGGGGGACGAGGAGCCGGCGTGGAGCTGGTAGGACAGACTGGCAATATACCTGGAAGGATTTTTTGATGTTAAGAAATTTGTGGGATTGTGAGGATTCGAAAAAAACTAAAATTTATGAAAATCGGATGGAAACTACCGAGTTATGGGTATTTCGTCAAAAATGTTCCAAAAATTCGAAAAATCGAAATTTTTCAAAATTAGTCATGTTTATACTCATTTTGAAGCTCTAATTATTTTAAGTTCAAAACTGCAAAAATTTTTGGATTTGCTCAGAAAACGGACCTAGATATGATGGATTTTCAGTTTGGTGATTTTGATCCCAGAAATTTTGAGAAATTTGGATTTTCAGAAGTATGTCTTGTTTATACTCATTTTGAAGCTCAAAACAAGCAAAATTCAAAAATACTAAAATTTCTGAGTTTGGACTGAATTGAACCAAGTTACGGTAGATTTTCCAAAAAACTCACTCTTGTGCCTTTCTCAACGTCTCGATTTTGGTCATTTTCGGCTCGTCTGGAAGTGCTGGAAGGATCTCTCGAAGTGTCTCCAATGCATCATTCAAACTGTTCATTCTGCGTCTCTCACGAGCGTTTGCCTTATCTCGACGGACCGTTTTGGCCCGTTCAATGGTCGCCGGACTACGCTTACGACATCTGTAACGACGCTTCTCCCGTTTCACTGGCGCCGCTGCTGGTTGAGGTGGGTTTTCGGGTTCCTGAAAGAATTTGGAAGTTTTTTGCTGTTTTCTGGGTTTTCCAATAAGCCAAAAGTTGTCAAAAGCTACTGGCTAGAACTAATTATGTGGGCTTAAAGCTAATTTCGGGACTAACTAGTAAAATATTGGTGAAAAAAATTGCAGAAAAATTCGTAATTTCTTCAAAAATGGCATAAAAAACCTTTCCCCACACTTAACTAAAAAACAAAAAAGTTTGAACCCAGGTGGTGTCGAGCCCCTGGCCTTCAGATCGGTGGGCAAAAGCGTAAACCACTAGACCACACAGAGCACTGAGTGAATAGAGTTGCAAGGCGTACACAACAGAGGGGGGAAAGCGTGGTGGCGGGTGGTGGGGAGGGGGAGAGGGCGCAGAGGTTTGGGTGCAAAAGGGTAACTGGAAATATCTAAATAGGTCTAAAAGCCACTCTAGAATCTAAAAATATATGAAAATTAACTGGAAAATCGTTGAAAATATCAAAAATTACATGTAAACCCCGGAAAATTAAGAGAAAAGCCTTGAAAAACCTTCCATATGAGGAATTCTAACTTCCTAATTTTAACCTTAATTATCTCGGTTTCCAATTAACATAGAAAAATGATTTTAACTAGTAAAATGTGTAAAATTTAATTGTAAACATTTTTGTAATTGACAATTTTCTGTTATCTTTCACAGGAATTCAGATAATTCGATTTGAAAAATGCTTACCAATGATTTGTCCTGCTCTCCAATTAACATCTCTTGATTCATAGTTAAATGATGTGGTTGATGTAGGGATCCATGATTCATGCCAAAGAATCCAGTGTGGTACATATTCTGGAAATATAGAATGCAAAATTTAGGGGAAAAAAGGTTTCAAGAAGTTTCTGGAAATATAAAAGCAACATTTTTAGAAAATTCAATAAATGTTTCAAAAAGGAAAAAAAGATATATCAAATCTAATAGACAGATGTTATGAGTAAACTGAATGAGACATGATGGTCATTAGTCAAGAAGACATCCCAGAAAGGGAGGGGGCGGAGCTAAAGGGGCGGAGCCTTGGTGGACGTGAAGAGAGGGGACACCGTCTTGGGTTTTAAGCGAATTCACACTATACTGGATGTTCCGGTTTACCATAAGTGTGAAAAATAAAGTTTATGACTAGGTGAAGAAGGTTTAACCGGGAGAAAAAGGGGGAACATGACAATTTGGGGATCACTAAAAACTCGTAACTTTGAGCTAGTTTATCTCAGTTCCTATAACAGTTACCAAAACGAAATAAACTGATAAAATGTAGCTGATATTATGATAAACATTTTATCAGTTGACAACTTTTTGATAACTGTCACAGGAAATGAGATATAGGAGTTTAAAGTTAATGGTTTGTTGCCAGGGGTGGGGGCGCTATGTTAGAGTGTGTCCTCTACAAAAAACGTTTAAATGGATTTGTCTGAAATTTTGAGAATATACTAAACAAAAATAGAGCTTCATTTTTGTAGTTGACAGATTTTTGATAAAAATTCAAAGAAGCGAGATATGCGGAAGATGAGCAACCTACTGTACCTCTATAAGATCAAAGAGGGGCCATTCCCTCTTCAGGTAAGTGTGACTGCTTCCGGTTAGCCTACATGACTGACAAGTGTGAATCCCGGATGGATCAGAATGTGTAAAGACAACTTTCTAGAAACAATTCAGAAAATTTAAGCTAAAAACCAAGAAATTAGGCTACAAATGACACCCAGCCTTGGCGGTGAGGATGTCCTGAACTTTTTGAGGGGTTACTGTAGTTTGGAGAAACATAACTGTGATAAATTTCATATCATCTGAAAGCTATTTTTTGACAATTTGAATGCGCTAAAAATCACGTTCCTAGAACGATTCTGAAGCGAGTTACAGCTCTTTTTGCATTTGAGAGACGCAGAGAAACGAGCGCGCTCTCTATATAGTACCCCGCCTAGGCTGCTCATCTTCCACGTGGCATATCTCGCTTCTTTGAATTTCTATCAAAAAAGTGTCAATTACAAAAATGAAGCACTATTTTTGCTTAATATTCTCTGAAATTTTCAGACAAATCCAAAAATTTTGAACACCTTTCGTAGCTTGTCAAAAAACTAAGCTCTAATTAATCAAGATTATCCAGGAGGCTCAGGTACAGGTGTCAATGTTTATGTATAAATAAATAAATATATGGTTCCCCACCATATAAAGTTAATCCCATTAGGTCTCATGGATTATGTCGTAACCCGGGTGTAAGTGAGTAAATACAGTAGTCTCCCCCCTCTAATACCTCCTGGGGGGTCATTTATAAGTATCTATACAGGCTCCTGCAGGGTAGGGTGTCCCCAAAAGTGCCAATTAGTCAAGAAGACGGAAGTAATTAGAGATTTTTTTGAAAAAAAAGTTTGACCCTAAAATATATATATTTCAATTTAACAGAGGATGAAAATGCACACTCTAACATTGTGCCCTACACTTTGTAGACTTTGAGCCCATATATCTCGGCTCTTGTAAAAGATATCAAAAAGTGGTCAACTGACAAAATGTTAATCATATTATCAGCTACATTTTATCAGTTGACAACTTTTTGATATCTCTTACAGAAAATGAGATATAAAGGCTTAAAGTGTAAACGGTTTGGGGCATTCTTTTAAAGTGTCTACTGTAGATCTCATTAGTAACTATGAGGCTTTTTAGGGTCCATTTTCATTGTAAGATATTTTTTAGCAAGGAAATGACTGAAAAATGAGTCTTAAAGCGTTTCTTTTCAGTTTTTCACCATTTTTTGACCCCAAAATCACTTTTAGAGCGACAGTAGCTAAATTTCTGATGTGAGGTTTAGGTTACTCATCTTCCACGTTGCATATCTCGCTTCTTTGAATTGCTATCAAAAAAGTGTCAACTACAAAAATAAAGCTCTAATGTTATTTAGTATTGTTTGAAATTTTCAAAAAAATCCAAAAAGTTTGAACCCTTTTTGAAGGGAATGAAAAATGCAAGCGCAAACCTAGTACCCCCCCCCCCACAGCTTTGAGCCTATATATCTCAGCTCCTGTAAAAGTCATCAAAAAGTGATCAACAGATAAAATGTTGATCATGTTATCAGCTACATTTTATCAGTTAACCCCCTTTTGATATCTTTCACAGGAGCCGAGATAAATTGGCTCAAAATAAAGGGGTCGTAACTTTAATTGTTTAACTTTGAGTCTATATATCTTGCTTCCTGTTAGTGGTATTAAAAATTGGTTGACTGATAAAATATAACTGATAATATGATAAACATTTTGTTAATTTACAACTTTTCGATATCTCTTACAGGAGCCGAGATAAATCAGAACCAGTTTTTTAGTGCTTTTTTAGCGATTCCCAAATTCCCTTTAGGGGATTACGGTATCTCTGGAGCATTTTCATCCAACATTTTTGTAATTTTTTGTTAAGCCACCTCCCATGGGTATGCTACCAGCTGTTGCTCATCTTTTACCCCAAAAAAAGGGGGGGGGGTCCCAAATTTATAATGGGTGGAAAATCTCCTAGGGAGATTTACAAGGATTTACCCCTTGTTGGAGGCAGACCATATATGATAGATCACTGCGCTTAATACAGAAGAAAAGTGTCAGAATTATTAGGATGAGCAATGATGGAACAGCGGGACCTACAGTAGGAGGAAAATAGCCAAAAAATCCCAAAAAATCCTCATTTTTCATTCATTTTCACTCTCGTTTCCCTCATAAAAATCATGATTCCATGACCAATTAATTGAAATTCATCGTCCCCCTCTTTTCTCTGCGTCTCCTCATTTCTAATACTCTCTCCGTCTCGCACGCTTCCCCCCTAGCCATCTTCCGTTGTGTGATAATTGGGTGTCATTAAGATACATACACGATTTTGATGGTTTTTGACGATTCCAATCAGAACATTTGGAGAAGGAACGAGAATGGTTTTTGGGTTTTTTCTTGCTGGAGAAAACCTCAAAAAATGCCAAAAATGAAAAAAAAAAGAAACTGAAAATGACTAAAATGAGATATGACATTTTCAAGGCAATACATAAGTGTTTCAAAATTGCTCAAATTGTCTGAAAATTACAGACAATACTAAACAAGAATAGAGCTACATTTTTGTAGTTGAAACGTTTTTGATAGCAATTCAATGGAGCGAGATATGCCACGAGGAAGAGTTTCTCTGCGTCTCTCTCGAATACAAAAATGGCTATAACTCGCTTCAGAGTTAAGCTACAAACTTGATTTCTAGCGCATTCGAATTGTCAAAATAATAGCTTTCAGAAAGTATATAATATGTTAAGGTTATTGCTTTCAATACTACAGTACTCCTACAAAACCATGGGCGCACAGGAGGAAGGGGCTAAGCTAGTCATTTTCAGCCTAATTTCTTGGATTTTAGCTCACATTTTTAGAATTTTCTAATTTTCTAAACAAAATGAGTGTCTTTACATAGTGATCCATCCGGGATTCACACTTGTCAGTAGTCATACAGGTGCTAACCGGAAGAACACTCTAGTGTACCTGAAGAGGGCTTCTCTTTGATCTTCGTGTGGTACAGTAGGCCGCTCATCTTCCGCATATCTCGCTTCTTTGAATAGCTATCAAAAAAGTGTCAACTGCAAAAATGAAGCTCTATTTTCGCTCAATATTTTCTGAAAATTTCAGACAAATCCATATAATTTAACTCCCTTTCGTAGAGGACACACTCTAACATAGCGCCCCCACCCCTGGCAACAAACCATTAACTTTAAACCCCTATATCTCATTTCCTGTGACAGTTATCAAAAAGTTGTCAACTGATAAAATGTTTATCATAATATCAGCTACATTTTATCAGTTCATTTCGTTTTGGTAGCTATCATAGGAACTGAGATAAATTGAAGCTAGTTTTTAGCGTTTTTTGGGTCATTCCCAAACTTTTATGTTCCCCCTTTTTCTTCTGGAAAACCGCTGGTCCTATGAGGCTCTCTTTGAGGTACAGTACCTGGAACCTAGAGAAAATGGAATTTAGAATTTGCTTCCTTTCTAAATTAGCTTTATGTCGTGTATGCGTGTCATTACTATAATAACGAGGTGTCCAGTTACCGTAACCCAATGAAAATTAGCGGCAATCTGAGGAGAGAGCTTCTCTCTATTCAAAAGAATGACGCAATATTCAACACCTGACTTATTAGCTAGTACATTATAAAGAGAATTAGATAACGTTATATTGTTATTATGTAATTCCAACAAAAGAAGGGGCAATTTTGATTCCTAGTCTTTATTTTGTGGAGAAATTTGATTTTTTGACCTAAAAATGATTTCAACTAACGAGAAAGCCTCTATTTTTGATCCTTAAGTTCGAGATTGAAAAAAAAATTGGGTCCGAAATTTTTTTTTCGAAAAAATTCAAAATGCCCCAATCTTGATGAAAATTGATATCACGACTCAAAATTGTCTAAAAGTTACAGTGTAATCAAAAAATTTTGAAAAAGTCGATTTTTGGAAAAATTTTTTTTGGAAATTTTTCATTTTTCGAAAAATTTCAAAATGCTCCAATCCTGATGAAAATTGATATCACGACTCAAAATTGTCTAAAAGTTACAGTATAATCAAAAAATTTTGAAAAAGTCGATTTTTGGAAAAAAATTTTTTTGGAAATTTTTCATTTTTTGAAAAATTTCAAAATGCTCCAATCCTGATGAAAATTGATATCACGACTCAAAATTGCCTTAAAATTATAGTATGATCAAAAAATTTCGAAGAAGTCGATTTTTGAAAAAAAAAGTTCCAAAAAAAGTTTTTTTTTCAATTTTCAAAAATATTCCCAAAAATATTTTTTTCTCGAAAATCAATTTTTTGAACTTTTTCGATTGTACTATGTTTTTTAGACAATTTTGGGTCGTGATATCAATTTTTATCAGGATTGGTGCATTTTGAAAATTTTCGAAAAAATGGAAATTTTTCAAAAAAAAAAATGTTTTTTCAGAAATCGATTTTTTCGAACTTTTTCGATCGTACTATGTTTTTTAGACAATTTTAGGCCGTGATATCAATTTTTATCAGGTTTGGTGCATTTTGAAAATTTTCGAAAAAAATTTTTTTTTTTGAAATTTCACATTTTTGGGATAACTTTTTTATTTCTTTCGAAACTTTCATATATTTACGGCTTTTCCTACCAAAACGAGCTCCTAAATTCAAATTCTTCTCTGTCTATTAGTCCAGGCACCCCCCGCTGCTCCTTTAAAAGGGACCGTTTAACGCGCTCTTTTCTGGTACCGCCCGTCTCGAGGCGGGTTACAAAAGAGGCCCAGGTAAATTGGGGTCAAATTACATCATACATAATACCCCCTTGTTCCTATTAAAATAGTAGAGAAAAGGCTATTTTTTTTTGGATGGTCCACACAGAATTTATACGGTACAAAATATGTAATAAAGAGAGGGGGTCAACAGAAATGACACTTTTCAAAATTTCAAAAAAAAAACAGATTGGGCGGGAAATTTCAAAAAAAAATTATTATGAGAAGAAGTCTTTGAGATAATAAGCAGCAATGAGTGATATAGATAGATTAGTGATAAGAAGAGGGAGAGAGGTAGCAGAGAAAAAACAAGTTGGCGGGAAATTTAAAAATCCGCCTTGTACTGTACATTGGTGTTCACGCCGTGGACCGATGTGGAGAACGAGCGAAGTTGGACCTGGAAAATGAAAAAATTGTCCAAACTTGATAAAAATCGATAACACGACTTAAAATGGGATGGAAATTAAGATAGGATCAACAAATTTTAAAAATTTCGATTTTTGAAAAAAAAATTTTTTTTGAAAATATTCCCAAAAAATGTTTTTTTTTCAAAAATCAATTTTTTTTCGGAATTTTTTGAATGTACTATAAATTTCAGGCAATTTTAGGTCGTGATATCAATTTTCATCGCGATTGAAGCATTTTGAAAATTTTCGAAAAAATGGAAAACATTCCAAAAAAATTTTTTTTTCAAAAACCAATTTTTCGATTGTATCCTAATTTTCATGCCATTTTGAGTCGTGATATCGATTTTCATCAGGATTGGATAACTTTGAAAATTTTGGATATCAAGCCAAAAATGGATTTCTAGGCCACCCCTTACCGTCTCCGAGTTTGGAATCAAGCAGGCGCCACTTTCAGTCCAGTCCTCTGGCGCCTGGGTGTCTTTTCCAGTGTAGATGAGCACGTCGAACGAGCACGGCTCCTCGAGAAGTGGCAGGAACGAGACAGAGGCGGTGATTTGGCTGAAAATTCGGGCATAACTTCCGTGGCTTAGCGCTTTGGACCCCAATCAAAAGGATATGATTTGGCGGGTAGTGGAAAACTTCAAATTTTCACCAGCCACCTATTCACCTCCATTTGATCGCGTCCAAAGGGCGGAAAAGCTCAAATTTTCGAAATTTTTAGATTTCTTCAATTTTCAGCTTTTTAAGCTCAAAAAACGTAGAATTTTCGTGTGACAGCAATGAAAATTCGAGATTTTTGGATTTCTGCGATTTTTTGCAATTTTCTAAGCCCAAAAATCTAGAATTTCCGGAACTTTTTTGACTTAAAATCCAGCCTTTTTTCTATCTTAAATTCTATTTTTCAGCCATTTTAAGCTAATTTTCAGCCATTTCCAAGCTCAAAAAGTCAAATTTTGGGACGTTTTTATAATGCAAATACTATATATAATTGAAGTAGAGGATCATCCTTCACCAATTAGTCAACAAGGCAACCACCCAAAAAACGCGTCGTCTGTCGCCAAGAATCGGACCACATGACGCTCGGATTATATCTAGGGGGGATACAAGCATAGGGAGGAGGGATATAATTACCGTAGGGACCATTTTCTCGGGGAGAAAAAGGAAATGTTGTAATTCAATAAATTTTTTAGAGGTTTCTATGCAAAAAGGGGGAGAAGGAGGATGGTAATTAAGACGGAAAGGCGCCGAAAAAAACCTTTTAGAACAACAGAAAATAGGATTATAGGGATTTTTAGGCATGTTTCAGCGATCCTCAGCTATTTTTAGGCATGTTTCAGCGATCCTCAGCTATTTTTAGGTATGTTTCAGCGATTTTCAGCGATTTTTAGGCATTTTTTCAGCGATCCTCAGCTATTTTTAGGCATGTTTCAGCGATCCTCAGCTATTTTTAGGCATGTTTCAGCGATCCTCAGCTATTTTTAGGTATGTTTCAGCGATTTTCAGCGATTTTTAGGCATTTTTTCAGCGATCCTCAGCTATTTCTTATGCATTTTTTTTAGAGATTTTCAGCTATTATCAGGCATTTTTGAGAGATTTTTTCAGAGATTTTCAGCTATTTCTTAGGCATTTTTTCAGAAATTTTCTGCTATTTTTAGGCATTTTTTTCAGCGATTTTCAGCCATTTTTAGGCATTTTTTCAGCGATCCTCAGCTATTTCTTAGGCATTTTTAAAGAGATTTTCAGCTATTTTTAGGCATTTTTGAGACATTTTTAGCTATTTTCCAGCGATTTCTCTGTCATTTCTAACAATTTTCAGCTTTATTTAAGGCATTTTTTTCTGCCATTTCAGGAAATTTTCAGCCATTTTCCAGCTGTTTTTCCACCATTTTTTGCCCATTCCAATACAATTTCAGATTTCCAAATTTTCAGCTCTTACCGAAGCACATCGCTCATCTCCTGTCGAATCTTCTTCTCGTCCTTGACACGATGCGCGTTTTCTCTGCAAGAAAAAACGACGATTTTTCAGGGTTTTTCCATCTCAAAAACCGTCTTCTTAGACGATTTTACACCGAAAATAACCCCGAAAATCACTATTTCCCACCTTGAAAACTCCTAAAAACACTTTAATTCCATCTCTTATTCGAAAAAATGACAAGTGGAAAAACCGACCATTCCAGTGGAAAAAAACGAATATTTTAGTAGTAAAAATGACCATTTTACACTCAATATACCCCCCGAAAATCACTCTTTACCATTTCAAAATACCCCCAAAACCACTTTAAACCCATTACTCATCCCTAAAAACCCCCAAAAAAAGCGAAAAAAAGGAAACTTCCCATGCCGGGAATCGAACCCGGGCCGCGTGGGTGAAAACCACGAATCCTAACCACTAGACCACATGGGAGGACGAGGCAAAAAGGGGTGGAGGGCATAGACATGAGTGCGGGGGGCGGCGAGGAGAGAGAGGAGTCGGAGAGTCCTAGGGGGCATGGAATGCGCAGAAGGCGGCTGGAGACAGCTGGCGCGTCGTGGGCGCGCCGGGAAAGAGCCAAAAAAGTCGATTTTTCATGGTTTTAGGATCGAAAAAGTGAGATTTTGACCTCTAAATGCTTTTTTTCCTAGCATTTCTGGCCTAAAAACTCTAATTTTAGAGTCAAAAAGTGGAATTTCGACCTTTTTTGAGCCAAAAATGCCTAGAAAAGTCAGTTTTTGAGCTATTTTTCCGCTTCAAAACCTTCTCAGCTTCTCTCAAGTATCCCTTATAACACCTGACCGGATATTGGAACACCTGCTGCTGCTTCTAAAGGACCCCCACTAATGTCCGTTACGTCATCACAGAGAGATACCGAAATGTGGGGTGCAAGCAAGAGGAGGTACTTGACATTTTGTGTTTTTGCTAAGGATTAGCAATATATATCTATTGGATGACTTCAAGTGGAAAATCCCCAGAGAAAACATGCCATTTTGACACCTTTTCGAGGGTCTGACGTCTTCGAGAAGCTTCAGAATCTTCTAGACGGCTTTTGGAGCATTCTGAGGACTTCTATATCGCTTTAACGTCTTCTAGAAGCACCAGAATCTCCTAGAATCGTCACACCCCGGTCTTACGTCTTCTAGACGCCTTCTGGAGCGTTCTGGAGCATTCTGGATCGTTTTAACGCCTTATAGAAACCTCAGAAACTTCTAGGATAGTCAAATCCCGGTCTTACTTCTTTTAGAAGTTTCAGAATTTTTTAGACGCCTTCTGGGGCGTTCTGGAGCACTCTTTGGCTTTCTAGATAGCTTTAACGTCTTCTAGAAGCCCCAGAATCGTCTAGGATCGTCCAATCCTCGTCTTACGCCTTCTGGACGCTATAGAATCTTTCAGAATCGTCTATAAGCCTCCTGACGCCTAAAGAAGATTCTAGAACCTTCTGGACATCATTTAGACGCTTTAGAATCTTCTCTAAACACACCTTCTGGCAAGTTCTAGAGTAATCTGGATAGCTTTCACGTCTTCTAGAAGCCCCAGAACCTTCTAGAATCGTCAAATCCTGGTCTTACGCCTTCTAGAAGCTTCCCAATCTTCTAGAACCATCTAGAACCCTCCTGACGCCTTCAGATGCTTCTAGAATCTTCGGGACGTCATTTAGACGCTTCAGATTCTTCAAAACGCCTTCTGACAACGTCTTATAGAAGCCCCAGAATCGTCTAGGATCGTCAAATCCCAGTCTTACGACTTCTAGACGCTACAGAATCTTTCAGAATCGCCTACAACCTTCCTGACGCCTCCAGAAGCTTCTAGAATCTTCTGCACGTCATCTAGACGCTCCACATTCTTCAAAACGGTTTTTGACAAGTTATAGAGCATTCTGAAGCTTTCTAAACCGCTCTAACAGCTTCTAGACGCTTCAGAAGATCTATAAATTATTTTTGACGTCTTCTGAAACCTTCAGATTCTTCTAGACGCCTTCTGAGAAGTTCTAGAGCATTCTGAACCGCTTCAACGTCTTCTAGAATTATCGAAAACCCTCCAGACGCTTCAAAAGATCCATAAGTTCAATTCTGAGCCCTTCTGAGCATTTAGAATTGGCTTGACGTTGTCTAGACGTTCCAGAACCCTCCAGAACCATTTCTGAGCTTTCAGAATACGTTGAATTCCTTCTGACGTCATCTAGAAGCTTCAGAAGTATTCTGAAGCCGTAAGAATCTTCTAGAACGATTTTAACGTCATCTGGAGGACTTCGATGCTTCTAGAACCCTTCAGACCCCTTCAAAACCAATGTCAATCTCTGAAATTGCTCATTTTAAGCCAAGCGATTACTAGGACAATTTTTGACTATGAAAATGGTCAAAAGCCTTTCCACGTCATCTAGAACCTCCAGAACCTTCTAGAGTCCTCTGGACGTCTTCTAGACCCTTCTGAATTTTCTAGAGCGATTTTAACGTCATCTAAAGGCCCTGGATACTTCTAGAACCCTTCTTACCACTTCAAAACCAATGTCAAATCCCGAAATTGCTCATTTTAAGCCCTTTCAGACCGGGAAAAAGCGATTTTTGGGTCATTTTTCGGCCTAAAACCCCCATTTTTGGTTGAAAAATCAAATTTTTAGAGCTCTTACCCGTCCTCAGCCACATCCTCGGTATGAATATCGAATTGCCACCGCTCGACAACTTCCTTGGTCTTCACCTCCGAAATGACCATTACCAGACGTTTGAGCTGCTTTTTGGCGAGCCAATCTGGAAAATTGGGGATTTTTAGACGGAAAAATCGTGTTTTTCAGGTATTTTTAGCTTAAAAATCATGTTTTTCAGGTGTTTCTACATCGTAATTCATTTTTTGAGCTAAAAATTCAAAAATATGATTTCAAGGTCAAAATTTTCAGATTTTCAGCTTGAAAAATGCATTTTGCGTTTTCAACCTCTGAAAATCATATTTAAACATACATTCAACTTGCTGAAGGAACGGATCCATGAACGCCTGCAACTTCTTGTCATGAGTCACAAAAAGTGCCAGTCCGTAGCGTTTCTCGCGCTTAAAACTGTCCGCCGGGTACAGCGCTCGCTGATAGAGAATGCTGTTGATGCCGAAATCTGAAAATTTCGGAAAATTCGAGTCAGAAACTTGGATTTTGCGTACGAAAGAACTCCTTGACGAGTGTCGCCGATCCTTTGAGTGTTATCGCGTTTTGTGTTTTCACATCGGTCATTTTTGACTGAAATTTTTGTTTTTAACACTTAAAAATACATACAAATCGATAAAAATCGAAAAAATGACCACAACACGCTCTCCCACAGAACAATTCCGAACTGCAAATTAATTTATGATCTACAGAAAAAAAGTTTGGCGCCATCACAATTGCAGGTCTAAAACCATAATTTCAGAATTTTTTATCTCTGTGGGAGAGCGTGCACAAATCCTCCGAAAACCATCAAAAACAGTTTTAAAATCTCAAGTTTCGCGCTCCTCTCAAAACGCGCCAAGCAAAAATCCGGAAAAGCGCCAGTAAATGTTCTGGCACGTTTGTGGATTTTTTCGCAGTTTGGGAGACCGTACAAATCGGGGAGACACAAGAAAGCGGGATAGCGGAGTGTCGTTGCAAAAACAATTGAAACCTGAATTTTGCAAAGGTTTTTCGCGATTTAGATAGATTTGTAAATACATTTTTGATGGAAAAAAACAATGGATATGAAATTTTAATCGTATTGCCGAAGGTAACTGATGATAATTCACATTTTTCCTGTAAAAATATGCGTTATTTGTCCGGAAAGAATATGTGAATCCATGTAATCGTTTGTCTCGTGCTCTCAATCGTAAGCCTTCCTTCGGCTAAAGTTATGAATAATCAACCGATTTCGCTATTATTTCAGTGCTTTCATAATATCATTAATGAGCTCTACGAGCAAAGAAGCTAACAAACCGAGTGCTGAACGCTATTTGAATAAGCTGTTCGCTGATCTTTATCATCTTGTCAATTCGTAATTTAAAAAGGAAGAGTTCCCTGCTGATGAGACCGTGCTCTTTCAAATTTTTTTTGTCCAGGGAAAAACGGTCGAAACAAATAACTGAAATACCAATTCTTGTAATACTGCTCAATAAACTTTTCGATTTTTGTTTATTTTCCATTTGCAATGTGACAATGTAATAATAAAATGATAATAATAATGATATATTTATTGAAAGCTTTACAGAACAAAAAAGAATTTTAAATAACATCGACGAACACTCCTTATAGAACATCAATAACTTTATCCAGACCTGATTTCGAACTTCTTGAAGGCAGTCTGTCTTCTAAAAAATTGTGTTATACCTTTTGTTTAATTAATTAACACATTTTTTCATACGTTTGTAGATTCCTAGTCAGTAATAGAACTCTGTTTGTTCGCAGCATTTCACTAACTGTAAGGAAACAACCTCTTCTGATTTTTCATACATTTTTAGCTTTTTGTGCTTTTCCGTACATTTTTATGCTGAATAGTTGCAAAATTCAGGTTTCAATTGTTTTTGCAACGACACTCCGCTATCCCGCGTCTCCCGCTTTCTTGTGTCTCCCCGATTTGCACGGTCTCCAGTTTGGTGCGGAATTCATCGATTTCCGTTAATTTTTGAGCATTTTTCTCGGATTTTCATAGTTTTCCGGGTGAAAAACGTTATTTTCTGAACTTTTCGCACTGAAAATGCCTTTAAAACACCCGAAAATCCACCAAAAACCCTGTAAAATCGATTTTTCTCGTTCAGATGAATCGCTTGGTGATTTCCACGGCTCGCCGCATGGCTTCAGCGGCTCCGAAGACTTCCACAGGCATTGAGCACGCCGAGAAGGCGAGACAAGTCGCTGGTAGGTTGAAAAATTGGAAAAAATCTGGAGAAATCGGAAAATTTTGAATTTCCATGCTTTTTGGCTTAAAATACTTTAATTCTCATTATTTTTGGCTCAAAAAACCTCAATTTTCATGATATCTCACCCTAAAAACCCCAAAAATGCAAATTCCAGGCGGCAAACCCGACTGGACCCTCTACAAATGCGATGACTATCTGAAATTCGACAAGTACTCGTATGCCCACGCTGAAATCACCATGAACAAGGCCCGTGTCCCACAACCGTCCTACAAGAAGGCCGATGAGCTGCCAAAGGTCCGGGCCTGAAAATCCTGAAAATTTGGGCCTAGGAAGGCCTAAAAGGGCCTAAAGAGGGCCTATAGAATGTCTTCGATACGACTGAAAAACTAATTTTTTTTGTAGATTTTTCTCTATTTTTTGGTATAAAGATTTGAATTTTTGTGGATTTATTGGTTATTTGATTCGGTTTTTTATTTCCAATTTTTCCTTTTTTTTTCTGATTTTTTGCGGATTTTGGCTCTATTTTTGGCATTTTTTAATATTTTTTAGGTTATTTTCAGTACATTTTAGGTCATTTTTAGTTTAGTTTAGTCCATTTCAGCCAAATCTAACCATTTTTAGCCCATTTTTCCCAATTTTTTTGATCATTTTCTGCCATTTTTCGTCAAATGTTCCCTATTTTTCCCCAATTTTTAGATCATTTTTTGCCATTTTTACCCTAATTTTTCTAATTTTTTGGCCAATTTCCGGCAATTTTTAACCATTTTTTCCTAAATTTCAGATCATTTTAAACTTATTTTTAGACTATTTTTTTTGTAATTTTTGGCAATTTAAAATTGGCCACTTTTCAAAATTTGCAGTTTTTTGATCTTAAAAAACGATTTTTCATGTCAAAAGTGCTCAAAAAATCTGATTATTCGTGTCTGAACAGACTAAAAAAGGGTTTTTTTTGTATTTTTGGCGATTTCCAGATTTTTTTTCTCTATTTTTTGGATAATTTTTAGCATATTTTTCCCAAATTTTAAGTCATTTTTAGCCAATTTCGACCGTTTTTAGCTGATTTTCCCGCCATTTTAGTCTTAAAAGACGCTCTTTCACCTGTCCCATGAGATCCTGTTGCCATGACAACAGGTTCTTGTTGTTTTCTCTCTTCTTCCTCGAATTTTTAATCGATTTTTGTCATTTTCTGCCCTTTCTAAGCCTAAAAATCTCTTTTTTAAGCTTAAAAACCCCATTTTATCCCCATTTTTAACCTCAAAAACCTCATTTCCCCCCATCTTTTCCGCATTTCCAGGATGCCTGGAGACCAACTAACCGAGGAGACGATTCAGAGGGTGTTCCTGAACGCGACGTCTGCGAAAATCGAGGAATTCTTTTCGAAATGGAACTTTTCCAATGCGAACTCGACGAAATTCGGTATGAGCGAGGCGGAGAGAAATGTGAGCATTTTTTGGCTTGAAACGACGATTTTTAGCTATAAAAAGCATATTTTTAGCTACCAGCCTGCTGGCTGCTAGAACATGTACGCCCTCCCTTCTCTTTCCTGGTGTGGCCTTCATGGCACAACTGGGTGCATGCACATTCGTTGTCCGAAGGGCCGCGGGTTCAGTTTTGGCGGCGGCCTAATTCTTATTTGAAACCCAAAACCGGACAGCCGGACACTAGGACCAACAGACACGTCTAGCGTTTTATATATATAAGGAAGATACAAGGCCCATTTTTAGCTGTGAAAATGCGATTTTTAGGTTTAAAAATGCGCTTTTGAGCTATAAAAGACCCATTTTTAGCGATAAAAGGCCTATTTTTAGCTATATAAGGCTCATTTTCAGCGGTAAAAATGCGATTTTGAGCTGTAAAAGGCACACTTTTTGGCTGTAAAAACTCATTTAGGCTATAAAAGAGCAATTTTCAGCTGCTCGGCGATGAGATTTCCGCGAAAATCGACAACGACGATTTGGCGTCGATTCTTCTGGAGACAGTTCGGTTGATCAGTCGCGAGAGACAAGGATTGGAGGTATGAAGGGGTTAGAAGACGTTGAAAGGCTTCAGAAGGCTCAAACTCGTTTCTGGAGGCGTCAGAATCATCTAGAAGGACATGGAGCTTGTTCTGATGAATTCCAGCCTCAGAATGATGAAAAATGAGCAATTTTGAGCTAGAAATGAGCGACAAATGCACGAAAATTGAAGGCTGAGCAATGTTCGGAGGCTTTATATGGATTTTCAGGGCTCCAGAGTTTTTAGAAGCTTCTAGAACGCTCTCAGACGGTTCCAAAGGCTCCGGAAGGTTCTAAACAACTTCTAAGGCTTCAGAAACGAAACTGACTGCTCCAGAACGTTCCAGACGCTTCTAGAAGGCATGATAGGCATTCCTGAGCTTTTGGAGCTCTTAGAAGCGAGTTTTTGGGCTCCAGGGCTCTTAGAAGCTTCTAGAACGCGTTCAGATGGTTCTAAAGGCTCCAGAAGCTTCAAAAATGATTCTGACAGCTTCAGAAGGTTCTAGGCGGACGCTTCTAGAAGGCTTTATAGGGATTTTGGAGCATTTCGAGGACTCCAAACCTTTAAAAAATGCTCCAAAAACGGATCTAACAGCTCCAGAAGCCTCATTTCTCGAATTTTCAGAGTCTTCTAAACGAAAATCTGTGTGATACGATACTGAAATTGGCCGGCATCACTCCAGTCGTGGGATACCCGAGATCGGTTCATGGTAAGCTTGGAAATGGCTGAAAATGGCTGAAAATGGAGTTTTCAGCACTAATGGAAGCGCAGAAGTGTCTTGTCAACACCATGTTTCATTCGGCAAAGATGCGAGAGAGATTCTAGTGAGTTTGGGTGGGTTTCAGGTGGTTTTTAAGCTAAATTTTGGGGAAATTGAGGGATTTTCAAGCTAGAAACCATAAAAATAGTCTAATTCAGGTCATTTTGAGCCAATATTGGAGGTTTTGAGCTGAAATTCCATGAAATTGAAGTGTTTCATGTCATTTTAGGTGATTTTCGACGATTTTAGCACTTAATTCATCTATTTTCAGCCATTTCTGACGGTTTTAGCACTATATTTTGACGCATTCTCAGCCAATTTCCCATATTTCCAGCATGAATCTCGTCAACGGCGACCAAATTCAACGTTTCTTATCGGAATTCGAGGATTCTCGACGCGAAAATTCCAATATTCAGTGGATCCGGGAAATGAATCCGACGCAGGCGGCAGAAGTTTGGTACTTTTATCATCGGATCGCTTTTATCGCAACCGCTATGGATAAAGGGTTTCAGGTGGGGTTTTGGAGGGATTTGAGGCTGAAAATGGCTAAAAAAGTGGGTTTGGTAGCTGCAAATGACCTAAAAATGGCCTTAAAACTGGCTGAAATGGCTGAAAATTTCGATTTTAAGCGTTTTTTACCCGAAATTCTAGATTTTTGATTTTAAAAAAAGCTGAAAATCGAAGATACCGCAAGAATCTCGAAAATTTGAACTTTTCCGCCCTTTGGACGCGATCAAATGGAGGTGAATAGGTGGCTGGTGAAAATTTGAAAATTTCCACTACCCGCCAAATCATCTCCTTTTGATAGGGGTCCAAAGCGCTAAGCCACGGAAGTTATGCCCGAATTTTCAGCTGAATCGAGGCTGAAAATACCTGAAAATCACTAAAAAATCGATTTTCAGAGACACTGGGCCGACCAATCCACGACCGTTTCCAATATCCTGTGTGCCGCCGAGGTGTGCCTCCAGAAGGCATCCGACGACGTCGCCAATCTCGATCTGCTGAGAGCCAACGAGGCCATGAAGACGTTCTTCAACGTCTTCTGCCATTTTCATGGAGACGTGCCCGGGTTGGATGAGGTAAATCTTTGGAAATAGGAGCTTCTGGAACTTTCTAGAGCTGTCTGGATCGTTTTTGGAGCCTTTCACAGCTTCGGAATGCACTTAGAAGTATCTGGAGCCTTCTGGAAGATTCTGAGATCTCTGGAACCCTGAAAGCCGCTTCTGGGAGCTCCAGTAGGTCTGAAATCCCTACAAATCATACCAGAAGTTTCTGGAAGATTCTGGAGATGTTAGAATTGGCATTGAAGCTTTTCACACCTCCAGAATCCGCATAGAGACTTCTGGAGCCTTCCGAGCATCATCTAGAAGGTCCAAAAGCTCCACAATCTTCAAAAATCATTCCATAAGCTTCTAGAACTTTCTGAAGCTGTCTGGATCGTTTTTGACGCCTTTCACAGCTTCAAAATTTGTATGGAAGCTTCTGGAGCCTTCTGAACGCTTCCTAGAAGATTTTGAGAGCTCTGGAGCCCTAAAATACGCTTCTAAGAGCTCAAAACCCTTCAAAACCTCCGAAATTCAACATTTTCCTTTGAGAAAAACACCCACCTCGCGTGCCGCATCCTCCGCGACGTCATCTGCTCCGGAATCCCTAACGACGACGTCATCCAATCGGCCATCCACGCGCTCTCGGTTCCACCACTCCCCATGGATCTGTCCGTCCTCCTCTCCGACCCCAATTTCCCCATTGTCCCCCTCCCAGAGACAATTTCAGAGGAAGAGAGGGTCCATCCAAGGGACTACTATGTGAATATGACACTAACTGAAGCCATCCTGGCCGCTCTTGATAAGCAACTGATTAAAGCTGTCGATTTGTTGAATTCGGTGCCTTTTAATCAAGTTTCGCCCGAAGGAAATACGCTCGTTGACTTGAGTGGACCATATTTTCAAGCGCTAGCCAGATTGTGTGTGGAGAGCAAGTACGCTAGACGGTACTGTCGGATAAGGGTGAGTTTTTCACAGAAAGTTTGAAGCGATTTGAACCATTTTGAAGGGAGTTATGGCAAAAGTGCGGTGGAGCGCATTTACAACAAACTTCTTGAAATTTAACGCAAGCTACTTATATACGTTTCTGACACTCTTTCTAGTCTATTCTGAAAGTTTGGAGCAGTTTGAACCATTTTGAAAGGAGTTATGACAAAAGTTCAGTGGAGCGCACTTACAACAAACCTCCTTAAATTGAACGGTAGCTACCTCTAAGGGAGTCAGACACGTTTTCTAGTTTATTCTGAACGTTTGAAGCGATTTGTGACGAAAGTTCAGTAGAGCGCGTTTGCAACAAAGCCCCTTAAATTGAACGCAAGCTACTTCTAAGCGTTTCAGACACGTTTTCTAGCCTATTCTGAAAGTTTGAAGCGATTTGAATCATTTTGAACCGAGTTACGATGAAAATTCTTGTGACGACATAAATTAACATGACGAACATTTTGGGCTTGTTTTCGATGCTTTTAAGCTGAAAAAGCAAATGCGCTCCAATGCGAATTTTTTATTTTCGACTTTAAAATGCTCTAAAAAGTCGATTTTTTGCGAATTTTTGACTTCCAGAACTTCTATTGCTCATTTTTCCAGGTCCTCCCACCACTGGTCGCCGATGAGGTAAAAAAGCGTCCCGAGGAGCACGACTCGCTTCGCGGACGCATCGTTCGCGTCATGATGCTCCCATCTACCACCAAAGAAGTCGCTTCTGAATTCCTCTTCATCATTTGTAAGCGATCAGTGAGCCGCATGATCAAATACGTCGGATTCGGACACTCGGCAGGTCATTTGGCCAATTTTGGGCTCCTTGGACAGATCAACCAACCGAAACATGCATCGGATAGTGAGGATAGTGAGACGGAGGACTATAATGCGGTTAAGGATAAGTAAGTAGCGGATTTCTCGTGAAAAATGACACATTTTAGAAGTTCTTTGACCAATTTTAGACCATTTTGAGCCAAGTTACGGTCCAAGAAAGCAAGTTCGCTCTAATGAGAATTTGTTTAAAACAAGTGTTTTGGTGCAGACTTGAGCTTCCAAACGCATTTTCTAGTATTTCCAAACCATTTCACTGTATTTAACCCCGATTTTACCATGTTTTACCCAAATAATGCAAATTCGCTCTAATGAGAATTCTTGAATTTCTAGTGTCAACCCGGTGACCGGAGCAATGTACCCGCCGGATCATGGAAGTGCGATGGATGGAATGTCGGATGCGCAGAAGGAGTTTGAGGCGATGAAATTGGTGGATGCGATGAACAAGCTGATGGATCAGGGTAAGTGCGCTCCACTGGACTTTTGAAATAACTCGATTTAGAGTGAGGGGAAAGAGATTAAAATGATAGAAGGAGTTTGATAGGGTTCGAGAGATCGCTCTGTGAAGTTTCGGAAGGATTGGAGCAGTTTGAAGGGATTTGAAGCAAACTCGCTCTACCGAACTTTTGCTCTAACTTGCTTGAAACTGATCCATTCTTCATCAAATTTCACTGGAACATCCAAAACGCTCTATTAGATGTTTTCCATGATTATTTTTTACAAAAATTGCAAGTGCGCTCCACTGACAATCATGCTTTTTTCAGGACTCGTCAAGCCAGGGACTATCGGCGACGACGGCAAAGTTCGCGAAGTTTCGCACGTATTGGAGTTGCTCAAAGACGCGCCGGAGCCAGACACGATGGATTCGGATTCGGATTAAAAACTTCTGGAATTTTTTTGAAATCCTAAATTTTGAATTATGTATAAAACACGCTCTCCTATGATCTCTAAATGATTTTTTGTCCCATAATAATTCCCCTTATGTTAGCCTTTTTACTCCAAAAATCCAGCTTTATGTCTCCTTTTCTCGAAATCTCATCATTTTTTGTGCATATTTTGATATATTTTCGAGTTTTTGGCGCATTTTTTGAGCCCAAAATTGAATTTTTGAGAGTTTTTAACCCCGAAAATCAGCTTTTTCGTCGATTTTCGTAAATGCGCTCCAATGCAAATTTCCGATTTTTGGCTCAAAAATGCTCAAAAAACTCGATTTTTTAAAAGTAAGCTTTTCAATATACCTCAGCCGGAATGTACATATTTTTTTCTATTAAAAAAATGTATCCAAATTAATGACTTTTGAAAAATCGACATTTTTGGATCCTAATTTTGAATCCAATTGAGTGATTTAAAACAATAAAAATCCCCAAAAAATAGGCAATTTTTGGATCCTAAACTTGGGGGGGGGGACCAAAATTTACTGTTAACGGTCAAAATGTGATAAGATTCTTTGCTGATAATATGATAGAGCAACACTAGTTTCAAAGGTAATTAAAAATTTAATAATCCTAGTAAAATTTTACAAATTTCCTACTTATTATTTTTGTAGTTGACCGTTTTTTGTTACTGTAGCGCTTCTGGAGATATGAGCAGTGTAATAGAAGCGGAGACGCATGAAAATGTTTGAAATTTGTTTTTTTTTTCAATTTTTGAAAAATCTGTATTTCCAATTTTTAGGAAAATGTGATCTATCCTCTCCACCACCTGGCTCTGTGGGCAACAGTGGCCCCAACCAACAAATGGGACCAATTTTTGTATTGATGTGAGGGTTTTTGAAAATTCGAAATTTAAAAAAATTTTAAAGCCTTTTGTTTTTTTTTGGAAAAATCAATAATTCCAGATGAAGCGGCCTTCACATCGATCAGCGATCAGAATTTTCGGAATCTTTTTTTTTCTCAAAATTATTATATATCAGTTATAAAATCAGTTTGAAAGCCAACGTTTGAACATTTCACAATCATGAGTTGATACAAAATAAGGGGGCATTTTGAAGGGGGGGGGGGGCGTAATCAAGAGATAAACATTTTTTCCGATTTTCTCAAAAAATTGAAAATCTCAAATCAAAGTGCGGACCTGGCAAGTAATTCAGAGGCTACAAAGGTCATGGGGGGTCATGGGGGGTACAAAGCAAGTTAGAGGACAAAACCCGGCCCAGTATCCAAGGGTACATCGAAAAAGGGTACATCGAGTTCTTAGGGTACATTGGTTCCAAGGGTACATTGGATTGTTCAGTACATGTAGGTGGACAAAAAAAAGTAAATCAATATTTTTGT